AAAAAAAACATAATTCCTTTCGTGACATTCTATAACACTTCAAATATTAAATAGATTATAACGAGACAATTATGTATCTATTATTATACTTAATAACTTTGTTCATAATAAATCAAATTAAAAACAAAAGTTTAGAAAAAATAAATACTAAAATAATTTATGGGCTCATAATAATTGACTCTAATACTGTAACACCAATGAATTGTGTTGATATATATGGATCTTTTGTTTGAAATGCTGCAGATACATTAACAGGTTTTCCAAAAGTTGAATTTATTTTTGTAAAACCATCTGAAGTAACAATTAATGGAAGTTGTTGATTAATCATTGTGGAAACACTTGGGTAAGATGCAGCTAAAAATACAGCTAAAACATCATACATAATACTTGTACCATTTTGTGGACTAAATGGTTTCAAAGCACCATAATGTTTTCCTCCATTATTATACCAAATTGTATAAGAATCAATAATTAATTGAACATATTTATTTTGATTACGATATGAATAAAAATTTTCCCATAAAGAACCATAAAATTGCATAAAAATAGTTGTATCAAGTGGAGCTAAACCAAAATAAGCCCATGAAGAATTAAATACTCTTTGAGCTGATGGAATATCAGTATAAATATTATATTCTTTTGATGGTTGACTAGAATTATCATATCCATAATAAACTGATCCAGCCATAATAAATAAACGTATATATTTTAATAGTTCTGGATTTATATGTTGCAAAACATGTCCTAATGACGTTGATGGTGATATTTCAATAACATTATAAATATTATCTAAATTTGCTTTTTGCATTTCATTTAATAAAGCATCTTCACCATTTTCATATATGATTCCTCCATCTTTTTGAAATTGATCAAGTGTATAATTTTGTGCCCATTCATATTCGAATATATCACGAGTACCAGTATTTTGACCAATAGCTATTGGAATATCGAAACGACCAAATATTGCTAAAGTTTTTGCAGTGATTTGAGCACGTGCTGTAGTATTAAATGTTGAACAAACAATAAGTTTTAAATCAAATATAGTTGGATTTGCTAAAATACAAGTTAATGCCATTTGATCATCATAATCCGAACCAATATCTGTATCTAAGATAGTTGGCATTGGTTTTGTATAAATTTGAATTATTGAAATTATAGACCATATTGAAAGAACTATTAATATTTTCATGCTGCTTGTTTCTAATGCAAATATTTTGGGCTTGTTTTATGGATAAAAGATAAAAAGAAAAAGTCATGTTTTAGTTTGATTCAGTTGTCTTTATTTCTCTTTCTCATCTTCTATTGTTTCGTGCAGATAACCAGTATGATATTCATATACATACTACTAGCTACAAGTCTCTGAACTTTCAAGACTTCTTTGAGACTAGATAGTTTTCCATCTAATTTTTACTAGAGGTAGAACTTAAAACCTATGATCACTGATACGATTCATGCTCTATTGACTACGAGAGTAAGAAGGGAGTGGGTGCTGAATTAAGATACACACCTACATCCACACCCACATCCACCCTCAAGATGGCAAAATCAAAGCTGTGTATTAGTTGAATTTTTTAGAACACAATCGCTCAATTTTTATTTCATTCTGTGGCATAGAATCAATTGATAAAAAACGCAAGTTGAGAGTAGCAGGTTGCTTGCTGTTGTAGACAGATTTGCGAATCGGTTTATTTTCGCTTAAACCACTTTCATATTCGTATTGGATAGTGTTGTAGGTATCAATTTCGGTCAATATCGAATTTTCGTATCTCATGATCCGATTGATTTGCAACGTAAAGATTGTCATGCTGATCGAATGTTAAACTGATAGGATGCCTTAGTTGACTGCAGTATCTTTCGATACTAGATTTGCCAACGACGACATGTCCAAGGATCGCTTTGTGTGGCCAACTCATTATTCTGTCATTTCCCCAATCGGCCACAAAAACAGTATTCCATGGGTTAACAAAGATTTTACCTGGTTGTGACAATTGTTCAAGACCATTTCCTCTGTTTCGGCCTCCAGCCACAACGATACCTTCTTTGGATCCCGTCTTCCACTTAATCACACGATCATTTTTCTCGTCAGATACATACACCGAATTATCTCGACCAACAAAGACGTACAGAGGCCCATTTAACTGATCTAGTCGGTTTCCGTCTCCATTTCCGCCTGCAACGAGTATTCCGTGAGATTCGCCTATCTTGTATTTCCTGACTTCATTCTTTTTATAATCTGTAACGTAAAGATATCCTTCTTTGTCCATTGCTAGACCATGACAGTCGATATTTGATATTATTGTTTCGCCACATGTATTATATCCAAGACGCCATCGAACTACTCTTCTATTCTGATAATCGCAAATGAGAAGATTGCTTCTAGTTTCATCAACAATAACATCGGTTGGACAATTTAACTGATCAGGTCCATCGCCTTTTCCTCTTCCACCAGCAATTAATTCACCCGCCATTGCACGACAACGCCATTTTAAGATTCGATTATTGGTAGAGTCAGCAATATACAGAACTTGATCATCATCCACACAAAAACCATATGGATGATGAAGATGAAATCTATCATTGCCGGAATTAGATCCTCCAGCTACACGGTAACCATTCTGTGTCCATTTATAATTTGGGGGAATGCTTATTCCAGGTACTGGTGCTAAAGTATAGACAGTTTCAGTAACGAGGAAGAATGCTAAGATACTGTTGCCGTTTAGTGGGTAGGTGTTGGTATATAATACCAACACTCACACCCACACCCTGATAAGAATAATATTTAAATCTTCTATGCGGTATGTCAGGTCATGTTCGACTTACAATAGGTGGTCTCAGAAAATAAGGATTTGCAGAAAAATGAGTCAGAAATTTTCAAAGCACCTAGAACACGACAATCGCATCTTGCCAATGGCTGATTCACTTAATCTGAATATCTTCAGGTCGTCTACTTTCCCGATTAATGAACAAAACAAAGCAGATACACTTCGGGTAGATCAACTATTTTCTCAGTCATGTTTTTGAAATATGAATGAGAGTAGGTTATACTGCATCTGTAATTATCAATAACTACCCGTACGCTATTCTTGCATATTTACACTTACGAGCTAGTTGTAGCGGCAGAATCTTTTGTTTCAGTAATTCGCTTTGTTTGTCCAAGGTAGATAGTTTCGATTGAAGTTGTTGATTTTCATTTTCAAAATTCTGACAGTGCTGGTCATGACGTATTATTTCTGACTTCAGCTGATCAGAAGACATGAGCTTGTTGGGTTGTAAAATAATACGTGTCGTATCGAGCTGTAATTCATTGATCTTTTCAGTAATATGTTTGAACTGATCAAGGCAAAACATTCTCAATTCAGTAGTGCATTGTATGAGGTGACTAGCGAATTCATCGCGGGGTCCGTTCCACGTACATGAATAATTCCCAGATGAACAGCGTACTACGAATTTGGGACACAGCTTATTAATATGTTCACTGAAGTTTCCTCGTTCGATATTCCGCTCATGACACCAATTACATCGAACCAAAATTTTATTGAGCATGTTAACAAAATTACGAGTGGCCTTCCGAAATCCCTGAAGCATCTGGCAATTTCGGCATATAGGACAGTTGTTGTTATTTTGAAGCATTTGCTTGATGCACACTAGACAGAATGTATGACCGCAAAACCAGATTGTCCCAGGATCAAAAAATGGTTCGAGACATATGCTGCATATGAGCTCCTGATCAATTGAATCTTTGTCCATGTAACTAAAGTCTTGCATGTGTTGCATTTCGAGCGCGTGCAATGTCATCGACTCGCTTTTTGGTGTCTCACCTGGTGATCAACAAATGTGAAATGAAAGTCTATGAAATAATTCATTTTTGCTGTTCTCTCATAACAGTTCTGCTTCATGAGTCATGGTTGGAAACTACGAAGAAAAAAATGATGCATCATTAATAGCAACATAAAATTTTTTCTGTTCTGAAACTCGTATGAGGTAATTTCCATGAAAGCGACTCAGTTTGAGTTATTGCAAATACTTTTTTATTCGTCTCCAACTATGACTCACGACGCAGAACTGTTATAAGAGAACAGCAAAAATGAATTATTTCATAGACTTTCATTTCACATTTGTTGATCACCAGGTGAGACACCAAAAAGCGAGTCGCTGGCAATGCATGCACTCGAAATGCAGCAAATGCATGCCTTTTGTTACATGGACAAAGATTCAATTAATAAGGAGCTCAAATGCATCATCTGTACCGAACCATTTTTCGATCCTGGAACAATCTGGCTTTGTCATCATATATTCTGTCGGGTGTGCATCGACCAAATGCTTCCAGACAACAAAGTCTGTCCTATATGCCAAAATGCCGAGAGGCTCCAAGAATTTCAAAGAAGCGCGGATAATATTGTGAACATGTTGAATAAAATTTTAGTTCAATGTGAATACTGCTATGAGCTGAATATCGAACGAGGAAACTTCAGTGAACATATTAATAAGCTGTGTCCCAAATTCGTAGTACGCTGTTCGTCTGGAAATTATTCATGTACGTGGAATGGGCCCCGTGATCAATGTGCCAATCATATCACGCAGTGCATTATCGCATTGCAGGAGTCTTTTTACGATCAATTAAAGGGTGTCACGGACCAGGTGAACGAATTGCAGGTGACAATAAAGCAGTTACGTTTGCGAGAGATGGAAATTCACATTGAAAATGAAGAATTCAAACTGCAAATCAAATCACTTGAGGAGCGTTACAAGAGTCTGAAAGAAAACAATCAGCTGCTTAAATCGACGTTAGATACGACTGTGGCTAAGAATAACAGCTTACATTCACAAGTTGATGCAGTCGCATTCCAAAATGGATATTTCGAACTGCAAGTAGTCGATGTAGTAAATGAAAAAAAGCAGTTAGAGATTCAAATTGATGATCTGTTATCGAGAAATACAATACTTCAATGCCAAGTGAAACAACTATTAGACGAGAAAGATGGTCTGAAATCGAAAATACATACTCGCCAAGGCGCAAACCAACAACTTAAGAATCAAGCAAAAGATCTCACTAATAAGAACATCGATTTGAGGGCCGCGAAGCACCAGCAGAAAGTTCAGTTAAAGAATGCTAGCGTCGAAAAAGAACGTATCCAATCAGAAGTGTCCAGCAATGAACGATTAAACGAGTCGGTAACGCAGTCTATGAGAAGTCCTCAAGACAAAAAGAAAAGATCCTGGAAGTGGACCTGTTGGTAAAGAATAAATATAAATTTGAGAGACATTGAGAAAAACGAATAACTATCTGAAGCATGAGTATCAATGTGAGTGGGTGTGGGCGTAAGTGTGACTACCATATTTATATCACATTTACACTCTCCCCACGCCCACACCCTATAATAATTATTATTTTCTTTCTCCGATTTTTAATAGTCAATACCTTCAGATGACTCAGCAAAGTCATTATATTTATAAAAGTTTACTAATCTTACAATAATATTCTTTTTGATCTACTAAAGAAAAAGATTCAAAATAATTTATGTCTTGTTTATTCGATTGTTATGGGCCTAACATATCAAACATGTGCTGACCTCTGTTGTCACAAAGTGTTGTTAGTAAAACTAATTAACATAAGCAATGAGCCTTATTTAACATTTGCTTGTTGGCCACGAACATGTATAAAAATGCCTATATATTATTTCATCGGTCGCTAAGAGTAGTTCCTTCGCTAAGAGCTCCTAGCGCAGGGACTACTCTTAGCGACCGATGAAATAATATGTGGCCATTTTTATACATGTTCGTGGCTAACAAGCAAATGTTGAATAAGGCTCATTGTGAAACTCTATTGGTAAACAACATTCTGGGAAAAAACATTACCATTTTATATTGCTTCGTTTCTTGAGAGGAATTGATTTCGTTGTTTCATTGAAATAATTCATATCAATGAGTTCGCGTAAACAACGTTTCGACGCAGGTTCATCTTCTTCGTCAGCACCTTCGACTGAATCAACTAAACCACGTAAACGTCGTTTCGATGATATATCAGAAACAGATTCTTTCAATAATAGTAGTAAGTCAAAGGGTTATAATAGTACTAGTAAACCCAAAGGTTATAATAATATGTCTCAAGCTAATCCAACAATTAATAAATTTACAAATCAAAATTATTCTCATCAATATTTTGAATTATTCAAAAAACGACGACAATTACCTGTCTGGGAATATAAAGAAGCATTTATGGCAACACTTAACAAAAAACAAGTTACTATATTTGCCGGTGAAACTGGTTCTGGTAAAACAACACAAATTCCTCAATGGTGCGTTGATTTTGCACTTGCTCTACCTGTCACAGGTGGACAAAAACGCCGTGGTGTTGCATGTACACAACCATATCGTATTGCTGCAATGTCTGTTGCACAACGTGTTGCTAATGAAATGGATGTTGCACTTGGACAAGAAGTTGGTTATTCCATTCGTTTTGAAGATTGTTCATCACAAAAAACACTTTTAAAATATATGACTGATGGCATGTTATTACGGGAAGCTATGTCAGATCCATTACTCAAATCTTATTCATGTGTATTATTGGATGAAGCACATGAGCGTACATTAGCAACAGATATTTTAATGGGTCTATTAAAAGAAGTTGCTAAACAACGATCAGATTTAAAAATAATTGGTAAGTTAAATAACTAAAAAGTATAATAGAAAATAAATATTTCTAATTTAGTTATGTCTGCTACACTTGATGCTGGTAAATTTCAAGATTATTTTGACAAAGCACCATTATTAACTATTCCTGGTCGAACATTTCCGGTGGAAATTTTCTATACACCTGAACCCGAACGTGATTATTTGGAAGCAGCTATTCGTACAACTGTTCAAATTCATATAAATGAAAAACAAGAAGGTGATATATTACTTTTTCTTACTGGTCAAGAAGAAATTGAAGATGCATGTAAACGACTTCAACGTGAAGTTGAAGGTTTAGGTCCTGAAGCCGGTGAATTAAAATGTATTCCATTATATCCAACATTACCACCAAATTTACAACGACGTATATATGATGCAGCACCACCAAATAAACCAAATGGTGCGATTAGTCGTAAAGTTATTGTTTCAACAAATATAGCTGAAACATCATTAACTATTGATGGTGTTGTATTTGTTATTGATCCTGGATTTTCAAAGCAAAAAGTTTATAATCCACGTATACGTGTTGAATCACTTCTTGTTACACCAATATCAAAAGCAAGTGCACAACAACGAGCTGGTCGTGTTGGACGTACTCGTCCTGGAAAATGTTTCCGTTTATATACAGGTTAGAAACAAAAAAAATTACGAACTAAAAGTTTTTATTATTGATTTATTCTTTTAGAAAAAGCATATAAAAGTGAAATGCATGAAAATACATATCCAGAAATTCTTCGATTGAATTGTGCTAGTGTTGTATTACAATTAAAAAAGTTAGGTATTGATGATCTTGTTCATTTTGATTTCATGGATCAGCCAGCACCTGAAACATTAATGCGTGCATTGGAATTATTAAATTATGTTGCTGCTATTGATGATGAAGGAGATTTAACTGAATTAGGTTCAATGATGGCTGAATTTCCGCTTGATCCACAATTAGCTAAAATGGTTATAGCCTCATGTGATTATTCATGTTCAAATGAAATTCTATCTTTAACAGCCATGCTTTCTGTTCCTCAATGTTTTGTTCGTCCAGATGGTGGACGTAAAAAAAAACAAGCTGATGAAGCTAAAGCACGTTTTGCTCATATTGATGGTGATCATTTAACAATGTTAAATGTTTATCATGCCTTTAAACAAAATCATGAAAACTATCACTGGTGTTACAAAAATTTTGTTAATTATCGTTCATTAAAATCAGCTGATAATGTTCGAACACAACTTGGACGTATTATGGATCGGTAAGAAATAAAGATTTAATTAATCTTATAAACTATTTTGTTTTTATTTAGATTTAATCTTAAACGTACATCAACTGAATTTACTTCACCAAATTATTATATCAATATTCGTAAAGCATTAGTCAGTGGATTCTTTATGCAAGTTGCACATTTAGAAAAAACTGGACATTATCTAACAATAAAAGATAATCAAATTGTTCAATTACATCCTTCAACTATTCTTGATCATAAACCAGAATGGGTTTTATATAATGAATTTGTTCTAACAACAAAAAATTATATCATTACTGTAACAGATATCAAACCTGAATGGTTATTATCTATTGCACCGCAATATTATGAATTATCATCATTACCCAATGGAGAAGCACGACGACAATTACAACGTATATATCAACGGATGGAAAATAGACGAAATGTTAACCAAATATTACCTGATTTCGAAGCAAGACGTGAATTCACATCTGTACATCAGCAAACTGAAAACAATCAAAATGCTGAGCAAAGTTCAGCAACGATACATTCAGAATCGAGTTGTATATTATTATAAGTGAAATTAATTAACAATCAAGTTCTCGTCATTGGGTAGGAATCTTGCTACTTCATTTATTTCACATTCATCCCACACCCAACTTGGATAGAAACAGCAATAGCTGCATGATATAATGCTGTTTAATCTAATAAATTCTTCTGTAGACTTTTATTTTTATGTTGTTATTTCTTCACTATACTTATAATATCTTCTACAATTGCTTTCAATTAATTATTGAGCTTTAATTCAAATTACAGTGCATTCATTAAACTGCTTCTGCCACTAACTCTTTAAATAAAATAATTATATAATCTATACAAACACTTTTGAATAATGGATGAGCAAATATCTTCCTAAATATATATAAAGTTGGTAGAATACGCTTGCTTGCAAATTTTGATTTAAAGACGAAGTGCTAGGGTGTGGGTGTGTATCTTCATTCACTACGCGCGCCCACCCACACCCTTAAGATGTTTATCAAAATTAAAATTTTTGTATTGACAATCGTGATATCACTTACAATTTCATCATAGAATCGGATTTCAGACATAGTGAGACGTGTTTTTTCACTTCTCTAATTTCTTACCTAAATGCCAATATTGACATGAAAAAGAATCTATTGAGAAGAAATAATATAAAAACACGAGAACGTTTTTGCTGTTTTAATTATCTTCATTGGTAAAAACCAATTCAAATTAAAAAATGCAGAGTAAATAATAAACTCTCAAACGTAATCTTTTATGACAGCTGAATCAGTTTATTAATGTGTTGTACACTTTCATAAACGTTTTATAAAGATTTACTATTCACACCATTTTGTTTCCATTGTAGAGTTTATCTACGGAATCCGATATTTTATTTGCTGAAATAATGGCTTCGTTAATGTTTGACAATAATAGTCGAATTCTATTGCGAACTAGGTCGAATCAGTACTATAACGAACAAACAACTGGAATTTTGAAAGGCATCATGCCGGGTTTTGTTAATTCAATGTCAAACAATGTTATCAGGTTTGTTGCATAGATCAGACTCTTCATCTTTCTGATTCAGCTAAAAGAGTATCATATATTTTGTCGTTTCTCTGGACCAATGCGAACTGTCTCAATACTAAAATCGATGATTTACGCATGCATAAAACATGAAATATTCGAGCTCAGATTCGGTAACTTATGAGTTAGTCATTTTTCAGAATGAAAACTTGATTAACTTGTGCATTATTGAACTCTAAGGCCGGAATCAGAAGCCACCAAGCCTGAAAGTTTGGATCCTGTGCATGCCTATTGATGATCCATTTTGAAGTTTTGAGCTTTATTTACTTTAAAATCATGAAACCATATAGGATTGAAAAAGCTGTCGCAGCCAGATTTCTCTCTACATATTGAATATTTACTTTAATACTCATCTCTTTTTTTAGTCGGCTTGGCATTGTCCATTTAGCATCTCAAGGTTTACAGGCAGTGTTAGATGCATTGTCACCCAAGGTACTGAATTTCGTTTTACAAAACGATGACAACTGCACTCTCGATGTTGCTGATGCAGAGATATGTGAATCAGAACAATATCATCTACTGAGAATTGTTGGAGCTCACATGGATGAGTTTAAAAATAGTCCCTTAACAATTTATTTTAATAGTGATGAACATTCATTTGAGAAAACTATTTGGTCTTTTGGAGATTCAAGCACATATGTGGGAAACATTGTGACATTCTGTGCTTCAGCTCATGCTGGACATGTAAATATAACAGCTTTAACAAATATTTTATCAACATTATTGAAAACGCAGATTAGTGAAGAACAGTTATCGATAAACAAAAGTGAAACAGTTATAATTTATTCGGAAAAAGCCAAAGAATGTGGTGTTCTTAAATTAAACTTTACTGGTGATCAAATCAAAATAAAAGGTTGTTGTGATGAAGGTGCAAATACAAGAGTACATGTTAAAAAAGATATGATTATATTTAAAGATAGTAAAGAATTATTGCTTACTTTACGAACATTTGCCAGAGAAAATCGTCAATAATTTACACTTTTCTGCAACTACTTATTAATCAAACTTTAAATAAAAACTTGTTCTAATCTTGACGGAGAATATACATAAGTATGTCTCCTTTTCCTTCACATCCTCACCCACAGCCCTAACGTTCGATTTGTCTACTCGGAAAATAAAATCTAGATAAAATAATGTAATATTTGTGTCTAAAATATGTACTATAAATATAGTTATAAAGTGTTCATATGTCTATGTACAGGAACATTTATAGATAATATAATACGTCTCCATTGTAAATACAAACTATTGAGAAGTTCTGTTCGAAGTTCAGCTAATGATAAAGTACAAGCAGAATGAAATAAAGGTATCATAAAATAGCTGAAATATATTACATATTCAAGAATATCAAAGATGATATCTTCCATAACATCAAATAAAAAAATAGTATATACAAGAGATAATGATAAGTAAAATATAAGATAAAGAAATGAAGCTGATAATAATTGAATTGCCATTTTTAGATATTTTCTTGAGAATGTGGGTGTGAGTTAAGGGAAGATCCACACTCATACCCATCTAATTGTTTCATACCCGAGATAAGTATACGTAGGTCAACACATCCAAGTGATTTTTATTGAAATCCCCTATGGCATACCTAGGAAAGTTCTCTGATTAGTAGCATTAGCTCTTTTATTATTTTCTAAAAAGAAATTACTATACTAAATTTATATTAAAAAAAAACCTTAATGTAATGGAACTATCAATCTTGTCTTTCAACAAAATCAAAATTGTGTTACGATGTCGAAGAAATGCATACCTATGAGTAGTTTATAAAAAAACAGCAGAGTACACAAACACTGTCTTATAAGTAACTGAGGATAAGTCTAGGTAGTAAAATCATTATAATATTAATCCTTACTAACACCCACCGTTTTCTGTTAATCTTATAATCAACGAAAAATTGAATGATATTTCAAATTAGTTTTATTTAAATTTGTAAATGAAAAGCAACCGAAGTAGTGAGTTATTCAGCAGAGAGTGGTTTGATCGTAGTTGTATCATCCATAACAGCAAGACTCATCACTGGTTTATGTCGATTATTGTGTGAGTTGATGCCATGAAAACCACCAGCCACGTAACAAGTCTTTGATTGATTCGTCGACTGATTCTCTACTAGTACCGGCACGACAAGTGAATTGAGTTGAATACGTTGAATATCACACTTTTTCTCTTCATGCACTCCATAGCAAAGACGAAGAAACCATCCACTGACATCTGTTCCTCTCGGACTGGAAAAAAAAGAGTTTCGAAAATAATTATATTTTAAACTGAAATTTCTGAATGCAAAATAAGTTACCTTCCAGAGCCTCCTCCACCCCAATGCTTTATGTCCATGACTTTATTCCAGAATTTATTATCGACTTGACCTTGATAAGTCTGAATGAATTGATCGATAATAGGTAATAAACCTCTGATATAACTACGGAAACTATCCTTTGTAGAAGTACTAAACATTTGCAATTGCTCAGTCTTCTGACGTAATAATTTCCAATCATCAAGAGTACCAACAAAGTGAACATTACGAATGCCACACTTAGTTACTATGCATCTATATTCAAAATATTGTTTGAATGTATCCATAATGGCTACACAAGAAAGTAATGATTCTATCTTAGTTGTAGTCGAAAAGTTTGAAGTAAGCAATTCAACAGCCTCATTTTTAACATGTTTGCTTACTTCTTCACGCATCTGGTCGAGAAAATCATTCCAACTAAATAAAAAGACAATGATTGAGATGATAGACATGTAAAACTCACTTAGGCTCAACGCTGGGCGGTTGACAAATAGTTAATAACTTTTTGTCTTCGTGATCAACAAAAATTGTACGTAATTGTTCGGCATTTTCATTGACATACTTGGAAAAATAAATACATATCATCAACCACATATCGTCAGGAGAGAGAACAATATCTTCGTGCGAATTATAAGCTCTCAGAAAGGCTGTGAATAACGCATGATTATCACCACATGATGTATCTAAAAATCATTCACATATTTCCACTGAATTAAAAGTTATAAAATTTACTCACGTGGCCCGTTGGCGATAATATGCTGTACTTTGTAACGTGTTGGAGTGGCTTCATTGTTGACTTTATGTATCCAGTAGTTGGCATCTGGAAGATCCTTACGAGTCTCGTACGTGTTATAATCCTTGTTGACTTTCGGAAGACTATCACAAATTGTTACTGTATGGTAATTCAAAGGTACGTTTTCGGTGATAGAAGCAGCAGTTACACTTTTTGTGTTTTCTGGTTGTGATCTACTGGAAACGCCACCCATTTGTCGTAAGAAAAGTAATAAAGAAGTTGTACGAAACTATAAGATGAAGAAAAATATAACAGTGATGTAATTTCAAACATGATCCATATATGACACATATGCTACTCCGATAGTGAAGCAGAACAAAAAGCAGATACAGAGAGTGAGTCAGAGTAGAGGTGACGAGATTGTCATTTACAGGAGTCGAACGACGTAAGAGAAAACATAGATACCATCATAGAGGTATATAAAATTTTATAATGGTACATGAGTTCAGGGTGTGGGTGTAGACATAGGTGATTGAAGAATACAACATCCACACTCGTACCTTCAAGACAACTCGCCGTTACTAGATTGCAAGGAATACTAGATGACTAATCAGAGTTTCACGACTTTGATTATGTTTGAATAGAACTATTGCTACTAATTGATAAGATTCGTCTGTTTTCAAAGTTTTACTTTGGCATATATTGAATTGTGAGTTGAATTCATGCATTTTTTTCATGTCTTTTGGAGAAATACATCATACACCGCGATGATCAGTTCTGCTCTTCATATATCTGATGAGTTTTTATTCTAAAGCAAATCGGAATACTCAAAAAATACTTATTGCGCATAGAGAAAAAAAGAACGTGATTAAAAGTAAATCCTGACAAAGCAGATTATTTAATAAAATCAAATAAAAAAAGACATCAAACTAATCATGACTTATTCATTGACGTCAATCATTTATTGACGATGATAGTTGATATCTTATTTTTAGTTAAAACACGTCCGATGATTAACATAGGTTTTGATCAATTCTTCTTTCTCTTCATCACGTTCGTCTTCATTAAAATCAAAGATTTTCTGTAAAATCAAAAAAAAAGAGAAGTATATGTCGAATTAAAATTCTGTTCTGTGTGTTCGAATTTGGAAAAGAACGAAATTCAATGAAAAATATCATATTAAATCAATAGTTTTGTTCATTAATCCAATCTAAAATAATTTTTTTATCTTACTCACGACGAAACCTTCTCTAGAACACTATTTTTTCTCTTTGTCATATGTAAGAAGAAATGAATGAGAGAAAAAGAGAGAGATATAACTAGAGAGAAAATCTACAACTAGTGCCATTTTGTTTTTATCGAAGACAAAGAAGAAGAAGAAGACTGTTTTATTAGTTAACGATTTTATCAAAAAAAATCTTGTTGAATGATGTTGAATATCTACGTATCTATCATTATTCTTCTTTTCATTCTCAACAATGAAGCATTAGGTAAATACTTTTATTTATCACATATACTGAGGATCAACTATTGCACAAATGACATTATTCATTAGAGTTTTAGTTGAACAAAAGAGAGTCAAGTAATTAATTATAGAATTTGACAGGAATTTCTATTATATATTCAAAAGTGATGGTGCTAATCTCTTGCAGCGGCTATGTGAGACTTTTTCTTAGTTTGAAAAGTGAATGTATTTCAAGTTTAAAAGTATAAGTTGAAATACTGATTGATAGTTTCAAAACGCTTGAAAACTTGAACATTACTAGAATCTTCTTTGAATATCAAATTTATTTGTAGATCTCGCGGCGAGAATGAGACACAAGAGAAAGAAAACAAATCTATTCCATCATATCGCATTATAATATACGAAAAAAGAAAATTAATTGACTTTTTCAGATGAAATCAAAATCAGAGAAAGAAAAGATCAGGAGATTAATGTATATAAAAACAAAGTTTATGAAATTATTTGACAATTTTTTTTTGAGATAAGATGTAGATTTATTATAGAAAAATACTGTGATTGATAAAACAATTGTATTGTATTTTTGATGTACTCAAAGAGTTATATGTGTAAAAATAGAAGTGAGGTATGAAGTCAGTTGATCATCCACTTCTATATAGTTATATTTTATTTGTTCTTATAGAAAATGAAAAGGATTTAACACTTTTGAGCTGCACAGAAGGAAAGAATCTTTTTTTGGACTATATGAAATTATTTGGTAGAAATGAATACGTCTGATAGAAAGAAAAAGCACAAATCGTATAATAATATAGAACTGCTTTGCGAGTGCAAATATCCAAAGCATTTTATTTAGGTCTTAATCAATTTCAATAAAGTCATTTTCATTCTAAACAATTATTTTTTTCTCCATCGAATTCATTTTGATCGAACAAATAAAAAACTATTTGATTATTTTTTTGTCTTCAATGATAATCATATTTTTCCAAGAATCAAACATAATTATTTTTCTTTTACAACAAAACAAAATAAATCAATAAATGAAGCTGATCTTCTTCGATGAATTCAGCCCTCTCTTAGTTAATATTTACAAATTATCCAAGAAAATACAACAACAATCATAGAAATCTTTTACAAAATTAATCTCATTGAATTGTTCCAAGAAAAAACATGAATTAACAATTTAGTTTCGTTTACAGTTCTTATCTAATATTTTTTATATCTTTCTTGTTTTAGCTATTTCATTCAATCAACCAAAGTTTGGCCCAACACCCATTTGGGATTCTAATGGAATTACTTTTGCTGATCAATCGATTGTCGGTGAACATCCTCTCGCTATTTTTGTGAGCAAAAACGACACAATCTATGTCGCTAATCAAGAAGATAACACAATTGTAATATGGCAAGAAGAAAGTGTCAATCCAACAAAGATCATTTCTGGTAATTTTACAGCATCCAATTCTCTCTTCGTGACATCGAATGGTGACATTTATATTGATGATGGCGAGGAGAATGGTCGAGTGCAGAAATGGAGTGCAGAAACAAATACCTTTGTCACGGTGATGAATGTTACCTCATCATGCTATGGTTTGTTTGTCGATGCCGCTGATACTCTCTACTGTTCAATGTCTGATCATCATCAAGTAGTGA